AGCTGTGATCTGTGCCCCATGCTACAGAGGAAGGCGAAAAACCTCCAGGGCCTCTGCCAATCTACCTTGGAGGAAAATTCCTTCCTGACTCCAAATATGGCGATCAGCTAAACCCTGAGCATGTGGGCAAGACTCATCAGCCAGACACCCAGAAAGTTCTCTATAGTAACTCCTACCATCCCTCCATTGACCTATTTACTACTGATAATGAATGGTCAATTAGTTACCAAGATCATGTTATCTCATCAAACCATCCCCTTCATAAATCCATCTAGTTTAATCTTGAAGCCAGATAGATCTTTTGCCCCCACTACTTCCCTTGGAAGGCCGTTCCAGAACTTCACTCCTCTGATGGTTAGAAACCTTCATCTAATTTCGAGTCTGAATTTCCTACTAGCCAACTTATATCCATTTGTTCTTGTGTCCACATTGGTATTAAACTTAAATAATTCCTCTCCCTCCCTGGTATTTATCCCTGTAATATATTTAAAGAGTGCAATCATGTCCCCCCTCAGCCTTCTTTTGGTTAAAGTAAACAAGCCAAGCTCCTTGAGTCTCCTTTCATAAGACAGGTTTTCCATTCCTCGGATCATCCTAGTGGCCCTTCTTTGTACCTGTTCCAGTTTGACTTCATCCTTCTTAAACATGGGAGACCAGAACTGCACACAATATTCCAAATGGGGTCTCACCAATGCCTTGTATAATGGCACTAACACCTCCTTATCCCTACTGGAAATACCTCGCCTAATACATCCCAAGACCGTATTAGCCTTTTTCATGGCTAAGTCCAATGGCCGCTCATAATCATTCTATAATCAACCAGGACTCCAAGGTCCTTCTCTTCCTCCGTTACTTCCAACTGATGTGTCCCCATCTTATAACTAAAATTCTTGTTATTAATCCCTAAATGCATAACCTTACACTTCTCACTATTAAATTTCATCCTATTGCTATCACTCCAATTTACAAGATCATCCAGATCTTCCTGTATGATATCCCGATCCTTTTCTGAATTGGCAATAGCTCCCAACTTTGTGTCATCAGCAAATTTTATTAGAACACTTCCACTTTTGGTGCCAAGATCAGCAATAAAAAGTTTAAATAAAATTGGCCCCAAAACTGATCCCTGAGGAACTCCGCTAGTAACCTTCCTCCAACCTGACAGTTCACCTTTCAATATAACCCGCTGTAGTCTCCCCTTTAACCAGTTGCTTATCCTCCTCTCAACTTTCATATTAATCCCTATCTTTTCCAATTTAACCAATAATTCCCCATGTGGTACTGTATCAAATGCTTTACTAAAGTCGAGGTAGATTAGATCCACTGCATTTTCTGTTTACTACCCCATGTAAATTGCATCCTGCTCCTTGTTCAGCAGCAAATTCCAGATGAAATTTCTTAAAGCAAAGGGGTAAAAACTAAACTTCTTACACATTTAAATCCCTAGAGCTTTTCAGTCCAGATAACTTTACTGTCTCCAAATCTGTCTTTTTGAAATCAAACCTTAGTTACAACTTTTTTTCCACTATTCTCCTATTTAATTTACATTGAATCAACTAGGATTCATTTGATTCAAGGTTTTTCATCACCAGCTTTTCTATAACATAGTTACTACGTCCAAAACAGCATCATGTCTTGTTGTTTCAGTGACTATTTTCTGAAGAAGTTTGTTATACCTACAGATAAATAGGCCCTACCATTATTAACAGCATTTGTTCTCCAATCTGTCACCTGGGAAATTAAAATATGACAATTTCAGATAGAGATCTTTTATTATTAGAGATAAATATGATGCAACTACAAATCTGATCCTGTTTTTACAGCACAAGGCGAGAGCTAGCTTTTATACAAATTCACAATTGATCTAAATGAGAAACTATTTCTACTTCCCCCTCAACTGTCATCTAAGTGACTTCTCTAACATTCTCGTAATGCACAGGAAGATGCATATATAAATTCTTATTCATTAAGATGAAAACTGTCATGCAGGCTAATGTTTCTTTATTCAATTTAAATGCTCAGAACTCTGCCCCACTCCCCTTCTCATGCACAATAATGGAATGAGCTCTTTTCTTAAAAACAAGTATGTGATAGAAGAAAACAATTAAATGATCATTTTGTTAATTCTTATGGTAGAATGGTTAATCACAGGCTCTAAATGACTCACGAGCATGTAATGTTATAGCTTCACTGGTCCCAGGATATTGGAGACAAGGTGCGTTAGGTAACTTTTTTTTATTGAATCTACTTCTATTTGAGAGAGATAAGCTTTGGCGTTTACACAGTTCTTCAGGTTTGTGTAAGCTCATCTCTCTAACAAATAGAAGTTGGTTCAATAACAGATTCTCGCCCACTTGTCTTTCACTTCGAACAGTAATCCAGTCTGTTTAAAATAACTACATGGATGCCATTTGCTATCTCCTATTTAACGTTGACTACCATCAAAACAAGATACTTTTGTATTTGAAAGGAACATACTCTAAGGGTTGGTCCACACTAGAAAATTAGATGGACCAAGCTATGTCGCCCAGGCATGTAGAAAAATCCACAGCCCTGAGTGATGTAGTTAAGCTAAGCCAACTAAAGCATGAGGTTAACAGAAGAATTCTTCTCTTAACCTACTTATTAGGGATGTTATATTGCATTGAATCAACTAATTGAGTAGTTGGTGGAATTAGTTAATAAGGGGGGAAGCTGCGGAGCCGCAGTGGGGTTAGCTCCAGACCCTGAAAACTAACCCTGCTAAGCCTCTGCTTTTTAAATGTATTAAGAAGTCCTAGAGACAGCTGACACTTGGCTTGCATCAGATCCTCCCAGCTGCGCCTCTGCCCCTGGCAGCTTTTAATACATTTAAAAAGCAGTAGGGCAGCCAGGAGAACCCAGCACAAACCGGGACAGTTGATTCCCAGCTCATGCTCCATTCCCCTGGCGGTGTCTCTGCCTCCCGTGCCGCCACCCCACCTCCCTTGTCCCCCACATGGAGACAGTGCTGGGGGGAACCAGCTTTTAAGCCAGCTCCCCCTTCACAAGCTCATGTTCTCCCCCCCTTCTGCCTTCCTCTGATAGAGACAGCGGGAGGGGTGTGTGGGGAAGAGACTAGTAGAGTGACTATTTGACTACCCAATGAGCATATGCTTATTTAGTAATTGACTAGTCCCTTACATCCCTACATCCTATATAGCCTTTCGGACATCAATTATCCATGCTGACCAGAAAACCCTTCTAGTTGCTGAAGGTCTACAGGGGTATAGTCATCAGTGCTAAATGTAGACAAGCCCTAAATTAAGGATTTATTAACTATTAAAAAGAACAAAAATAGCAAAACTAACCCAGGCATCTCTCAGAATTCCTCTTCACTTGCAACTGTTTCCACATTCATGTCTGCTAGAAATTACCCATATCACTATGTCACTTTATACATTTCTAAAGTGTAATCCTTTCTACAAGCAAAGAATTAGCACTCACTTCAATCAAAGCGCTCTATAGCTTATTTCTCCTCTTGGCCTCTTCCCATTAATGTGTTGTACCCGAGTTTCAAAGAAGTGAGCATTTTATCAAGGGCCCTTCCACGTTGCTGCGGCGAGAGTGTAGATGAGGCGGCCTCCCAGGCACAGGCGCCACTGCTGTCACGTCTGACCCTCCGGGCGGGGCGAGATCCCCAGGGTCTGAGGGAAACAACGGCGGCATCCCCACGTCAGTAAGGAAGCGCCAAGAACTGGGCCTGCGGGCCCGGCCCTACACCAGCCCCAGCGAAGCCCCCGCAGGCGCCAGGGCCAGAGCCTACCGCCCCGCCCCGACTCAAGGCTGCCGGCCCGGTCCCCGCCCCCGCTAGCCGCTCTGCGACTCCGCCGCCCGCGGGGTGGGGCGAGCTCCCCGCGGCCCCCTGCCCGGCGCCGCCATCGCTTAGGGCCGGCGCCTGCTGTCAGACCGGCGCGGGGGTGACTGACATCGCGCCTCTCGCGGCCAGGCACCAATCACAGCAGGGCGCGGCAGGCCCTGGCTCCGCCCCCCGCGCCCCCAGGAACCCTGCTCCCCACCCGCGCTGCAGAGGGGCCTCGCCCGCCGGGCCCACACCCCCTCCCGCGCCGAGCCGAGCCGCCCTATGCGCGTGGGGCCGGCGGCCGCTCGCATCAGACTTACTCGCCCCTCACCTCCAAGCAGCCGCCGCCAGCGCCGGAAAGAAGCCGATTCCCCAGCCCCGCGCGCTGGCGACGTATCGGCGATTTCCATCCGGGCGGCTGCACTGGACCGTGAGCGCAGGGTTCCGCACTCAGGCAGGGGCTGCCCTGGGCATGCGCACACGGGTGACTCACTGCTGCGGAATCTGGAAGGGCCGGGGCGGCGCGTGAGCGCTGGGGTTCGTGTCTCTGGTCCATGGCAGCGTTCGCAAGCTGCATATGCGGCGAGCCCAGCTCCCCGCATGGTGAATGGGCTCGCCCCCACCCTCCTCCATTTCCTTATGGCTTTGGGCTCCCTCAGCATCTGCTGCTGTGTGCGCTTGGGTA